ATGGGTTTATCTTTTGGCTTCAAAAGATGAAGCATTTGGTATGTTCAGAACATTTGTGTCTAAGGTGTTAAATGAGTAAAAAAAAAAAGGGATTAAATCAATACGTAGTGATAATGGTGGAGAGTTCATATCTGATCAATTTGGTGCTCTATGTGATGATAAGGGAATTAATCACACCTTTTCTGCACTTAGAACACCACAACAAAATGGTGTAGTGGAAAGAAAGAATAGGACTATAATTGAAACTGCTAGAACTATGCTCCTAGACTATGGTTCTCCTAAGTTTCTCTGGGGAGAAGCTTCCATGACATCCTTTTATACAATTAATCGTGTGTTAATAAAAAAAACCCTTAAATAAGTCTCCGTATGAAATTCTAAACAAAAGACATCACACATAGCAATGACATCATCATATTTCAGATTTGCAATGAAACCATTATCATGGTGAATATACCATATATGATTCAGGCTAGCGTACGTCAGGCGTACGCTGTAGGCCTGTGTTTACACTTAGTTTTTGCACTTCAATATATTTCGCTGAATCAGAACTGTCGGTTGTTATTTTTTTATTAAATGAATCTTGTGTCTTGGGTTAGAGAATTTGGGACTGGGGTTCATACATTAGGGGTTAAGGTATAGTATCATGCACCCAACTCCGATTAATTCGTGCTCTAAATAATAGAACTCGACGGGTACGCTAGCCTGAACCATATATAGTATATTCACCATGATCATGGTTTCATTGCAAATCTAAAATATAATCATGTCATTGCTATGTGTGAGGTTACTGATATCATTTAAATTTAACTTATTTTGTTGCAATTGGATGATGAAAATCAGGTTATTAATCCAAGATATTTGTTATTCATCCTTCTCCACCAGAGCATATAACATCCCAAACCTTTTCCCGAGCAAGATAATGTCCGCTTTGCTCTTCGACCCTCACTGTGCTTTGTCAATACAACTACAAGGCACCTCTTACCTCTTCTCTAAACGTGTCATGGAGCCGAGGACAACTTGGTGCGCCGTATCTATAGTACATTTGATTCAACTAACAATTGAGGATGAAATCAGCAACGTCGAGGTCGTTTCCCGCCGTCATACTTACAAAGGATTATTGCATCTTTAGTAAGTCTTGTAGATGTTGTCAATTCTGATTATGTCACCATTCTAAACTTGGTTGAAATTCTTAGAGTAAATTACAAGTTTGGTAATTGGAATTACTAAGAAGTTTCACGTTAGCCACTAAAATTAGTTTATTCTATTCATGGTCACTAAAATTAGTTCAACCTTTCAAGTTCGGTCACTCTCCGTTAGTATTCGTTAATTTTCATTGATGTGGCAGTCAACTCTGATAGTTGACCGTTAACTGTGTGAAGTGTTAATTAAAAATAAAAAAATGTATAATTTCCACTTCGTTATCACTAACATTAAAAATAAAATAAAAATATTTATTTTGATTTTCTAAATCTAACGAACCAACCTCACCCCTTTTTTCACCATCACTCGACCCAAATTTATAGCCTTCATAAAACCCCAATCCTGGACCGTGGCGAAGGGGAAGGAATGGCGGGAGGACAGGCGACAACAAGAACTTCCAACTGAAAGTGGTGGCGATGATGACCACCACCGACGCCGACAGCGCCGCCATCATGAGCAACGCGAACAAGAATCGTCATGCTGCCATCAAAACCCCTAATTTTGGCGTGCCTCTGGTTCCCTATATGCTTTCAGTTGGTGGTGGTTACGATCGGTGGTGGTTACGGTCGCCACCACGTTCAATTGGAAGTTCTTGTCGCTGCCTGCCCCCGCCGCCTCCCTTCCCCTTTGCCACGGTTTAGGATGGAGTCTTTCTGAAGGATAGAAATCTGGGTCGAGTGATGGTGAGCAAGGGGTGAGGTTAGTTCATTAGATTTACGAAATTAAAATAAATTTTTATTTTTAATGTTAGTGACATTGAGGTGGAAATTATAAATTTTTTTATTTTTAATTAACACGTTACACATTTAACGATCAACTATCAAAGTTAACTACCAAATAAGCTAAATTTAAAGGAGTGATCAAACTTAAACTATTAAACAAATTTTAGTGACCATGAATGAAATAAACTAGTGGCAAAAGTGAAATTTCTTATATTCCTAGTAATTCCAGTGACTAAACTTGCAATTTACCCAAATATCTTCTGAAGTAATAGTCACCGTCAGTTTCTAAACGTCTTTAATTGTTTTGAGTTGGTTCTGATAAAATTATTATTGACTTTGGATAACTAAATACCATATGTCCATTTTCAGGTAAATGCCACATTTGGTCACTAAGATTACTAAATCGTGTCATATGTAGTCACTAAAAAAATTTAATATCAGTTTTGGTCATTCGAATTACTGAAACAGGTCACATTTAGTCACTCTCCCATTAGTTACTGACCAACTCCATTAGTTTCCTTCCAACTCCATTTAGTCACTCTCTCATTAGTTTCTGTCCAACTCCACTAAATGGAGTTGGACGGAAACTAATGGGAGAGTGACTAAATGTGACCTATATTAGTAATTCAAGTGACTAAATGTGACATGTTTCAGTAATTCGAGTGACCAGAGTTGGACAGAGGCTAACAGAAGAGTGACTAAATGCGAAATGTTTCAGTAACACGAGTGACCAAAATTGATATTAAATTTTTCTAGTGAGTACACATGACACGATTCAATCGCAATGACCAAGTATGGCATTTACCCGTCCATTTTCATATCATTTTCTCCTACTATTCAAGAATTTAAGTTTTCTGTTGCCCATCTTCGTGTCATTTCTCCTACTATTCAAGCAAATTGGAATTGTGAACAATAGGGTATTATGTAAGTCTTTTATTCTTCTTAACTATTTGTGGAACAAAACTTAGGTAACATGATTCGTCGGCCTAGGCCCAACACTCTCGCTTTGGAGCGCTAAACCGCAAATTAGGGAGAAAACGTCATAGTTCACGAATATCTTTCTCCGGGAGCACGAATTTGCTTTGAAAAAACGTGACTCCAATTCAAATCGCCACTTCAAGTTATATAAGCTGGAAAAAATGAGCCATTGATTTGGAGGGCCTAGGAACTAAGAACGTATTCAACCAAAACGCTGTGATCGCAAGTGTTAACCAGATAAAGGAGAACAACAACTGTCGGAAATAGCTAGTTCAGAAAATGAGAAATAAGAGCTTGCCTCATGGAGATTCTTGAAGAAACAAGGAGTTGCTGGCATTGGGAGAGGTTTGGCAAGACGCTGTCATCAAAGACATGGAAGAGTCGGAATACATGCAGAGAGAAAAAAATTCACCACACCCGCCAGATCTCTTGTCGTTGATGTACAGCCGCATAAGGTTCATCCTTTTCAATACAATAATAATAAATAAAATGTGTTTTTGTCATTTCAATATATCAATAATAATAATAATTACAATGTGTTTTTGACTGCCACATCAACAAAAGTTAACGGAGTTGACGGAGAATAACCAAACATGAACGATTTCAGTAAATGGAAGCATTTTATAATCTCAATGACCAACCATGCAATTAAACCTGCCCACTTCCTAATTTGAATTTTTTACTAAATATATATAATTAATTTTTTTTGGTTCAAATTATTATAATTCCTTCAAATTAGTGTGGTCGCTCAATAAATACCAAAACGCGAACAAATTATTATTATTATTCCTTAATTAACTTCAGTACTGTATAGCTTTATTCATTTGTTGCACCTGGCATTACAAATACGAAGCTAATACTTGTTTATATCGTAGAATATATAAATTCATTTGAAAATCTAAACCTAGATTCACACCAATTCCTATATTGAACACGCACCCAATCTCGGCCAATATTAAGTGATCTAGGAAAACTTAAAACTCTTCACAAAAATGACAGCTGCAACATAATCGAAATTGCTTCTAAAACATCATTTAGGCTTCAAACAATATATATATATATTATAAACACAACCACTCCAGTACTGGATTTGATCGAGAAGAGCGTCTAACTCAAACAACGGTCCTGCATAACATGGAAGATAGAATTGAACACCTCTTTTGCGATGAAAAATATGGTGAAACATACCCAGGAACCAGTTTGTAGTTTCTTCGACTTTCATCGTAAATAAAGTTCGATAGCTTTCAAGTACTTTGCAAACAAAACCAGGAACAGGCATACACACCACACGAGATCTCAGATCGATTATCAGAGCAGACTTACCTACTGCCTAAAGCGACACTTCCCAGCAGGAAATTGTTTCTATAACTTGAACAAACAACAATGGCAAAACCCCCATGAATCCAAGAACCAAGAGACCAGTTAAGAATAACCAATGGGTTCTATAAGATTATTTGACCCAATTCAAGGAATTAGAGGAAAGCAAAGAAGAAGATGTGGGTCAAAAACCAGGCCCGCTTATCAGAGAAGATCAAAGAGGGCAGACATGTTGACCACTCAATCACTCTCTGTGCACACTACCATGCTTCCTTCATTCTTTCAATTTTCCAGAGCATCGGCTTATTGTGCACAGAACACAAGGAACCCAAACAAAATCATACGAAAACTCATTATCAGCCAGCCAGGGGCATGCTAGCTAAGATACAGAAAAACCAAAACGACGAACTGCAAATTTACCAAAAACACTATCCCCAACAGAAACGAAGGAGGAATGGATGAGGAAAATTTTGATTCCTGAAACGACCATGGGGTTCGGGTGCTGATCATCGTCAACAATCCATCGTTTAAATAGCGGCAGCAAGCAACAGCGGACAGAGGGAGACCTCACAAATTAAGCGGAGCGTGCGTTAGGGTTTCGATGACTTACCTACTCCCGGATTCATGCCCAACCCAGCCCAGCCCAGCCCACTGATAATGGGTGAAAGCCCATCTCACTTCCTGGTGGAGGACGGCCCAAGCTGTGAAACAATAACAACTTTGAACGGCGCCAATTGCTACTTGCTACACGAGAGTATAAGACTGGTACCGATTCAATTCAAACCAGAAGCAGAGCAGTTCCCGTTCCATTCCACATAATCAATAGCCCCCTCTTCGCTCCGAGTAAGAAAACCATTCTTGGTTTCGGTCTTTTCAGAAATCGGTTTGTCAACATCACGTCAAGTTTCCGATTTGCGGACTCGCGATTCAGAGTCTGTTGGTGTTGGCGATCATTGCAGCTGCGACATTTCCCCCTTTCCATTCCCCCCACCCGCCAAGCTTTCTAGCAAGAACTAGGGTTTCTGGTTCGCTCTAGCTTCCTTTGAGTCCGATTATGTCTTCCTGTTTGCGGACTGACGGGAGACGCTTTTGCTGACTTTGTTCGTCTGTCTCCTCTGCGGTTCCTCTATCAAGTGCTCATTCCTGGACAATCTTCTGTTTCCGCGGATTCTGCCGGTGGACACGGCCTTCCGATTTCTGCAACCATGCTGCAATGGATGGGAGGATCGAGGAAGAAAGTGGCGACTGTAAGTAGAAGCTCTCCCTCTTTAGTCCATTTTCTTCATTTCAACTGTGTAGGAGTTACCTTAAGGCAAGTGTGTCGGCTGTAGCTTTGGACATTGGAACAATCTGCGGCTGGAATCTGATAAGTTCTGCTATTTTGATTTATAGATAAAGTGCGTTTCGCTTCTGACCTTGTGATTTTTCTCTTGCAATGTACTTGCTGCTGCATTGGTGTGTAATCCAAGTCAAGGAAGTCTATAGAGAAAAGGTAAAAAAGAGTTCGGAAACCATCTTCTCCTTCCCCCTATTGTTCTAGGATGCCATATGCTGCATTAGCTACAAAAGTGAAAGATAATTTGTAGTATCTTCTAAGGATGTGCACCGTTAAATATTTACTCGAACATGTTTTAGGTTCCTGGGATCTATGCCTGCTGTATTAAGTTTTGCTAATTCTTAGGCAAAGGCAATATTTTGAGCAAAAAAGGCGGCAGCAGCGGCAGCAGATGGGTGGACTAGAGAGTTCCCGCAATGAGAAAAACATTGACGAGCAAAATCAAAAGGAGCCTCGGTCTCTCGATGTTCTCAGTTTGCTCAACTTGTCAACCATTTCACGACAGGTGAAGCATGCTGATGCAAGTCCGTGTGGTAAGCACCGTAAGTCAAGGCTGTTTTCTTCTTCTTCTTCTTCTTCTTCTTCTTTTCATTGGTGTCCTTTCATTATGGTGATATAGTCGATGTTTTGTTGATAGATGATAAGTTTCTGTGGATCACCTCAAATTGGCCAGGGAAAAGAAGCAAATAAATCAAACATGTAATGGATCATCAATGTTGATGACCAACCTCTGTGTATGGAGATATTTGTGAAGATGTGATGTTAAATCATTTTTCTGCTTGCAGCATTAGCTATACTCTTCTATGGAAATCAATCAACTAACATTTGCTCCCTTTTCTTGCCCTTCCTGTCTCAACCTACTTCCATACTGAGTGTTGGAAATTAGTTATTTTCCTTCAGGATTCCTGATAAACTAATTAGCCAGCTTACTGGACAATTTTGTCAAACACAAGCAAAACTTGATAATTGTTGTATGTGTGGTCTTACTCGTGTGGGACCCGATATACCTTGCTGATAGGTTATGCTTATTTTGATTGATACGGGTCCATGTATTCATTCTCACCTTCTCATCCCCATTCCCCATTTGGTGCTATTTTTTCCTTTTCCAGCCATGCCAGAATTGTCTAAGGTCAATGCTTCTGGAGTGCAGAGTAATTTTCCAAAGACTGTACCTCGCATGTTCGACGATTCATTTTCTCCAACTGATTCACTAGAAATTCGGGAAGGTACTAGGTTCTGTATTTCGTGTCTTCCCAAATAACAATTTCCTGGAGTTTTTTCTCTTATTTTACACTGATTTGTGAATTGGGGTATCTTTCAGGCCAGCAAGCACCTATATCACCAAAGAAGTGAGTGGCAGATAGTGTGTAGTTATCTTATTTACATTATATTAACTGGTTAAATAAAGAAGATAAATATGAAATGTGAAGCCCTTGATATAATCTATGTGATGGGTCTCTCAGTGTCTTAAGCAGAGTTCACTGTAGTTGAAATAAACCCCAGTGTCTTTTCTTATTATATTTCTAGTGCTTTAATCTTTTTATTTTTTATTTTCGTACAGGATCTTATTTCCTGCTCCAGAAAATGCTCCTGATGTTTCAAATGGAATTGTGGATAAAATTGATTTTCAGGAGACTGCAACTCTGCAGAGTAAACAGCTTACTTCCACGCCTGAGAGTTTGTTCTAGTACTGCTTCGTTTACAGTTCTACTGATGCATGGCAATTAAATCAATCAGTTGTTCAAAAATGATGTTGCAATTTTTCTGTATTGTTTGCTGCACAAATATCTTCCAACATTTCTGTCGTTTGTTTCCCAGAGCTATCGGTCTTTGATTTGCTTGCTGATGATGGACCAAATGCTAACAGTAGAAGTCCAGTGCATGAAGCTCATGTTACATTTTCAGTTGACGGTAAGTTCCTCATTGTCTTATAATTCAAGGCTGTTCTTTTACGTTTACTTTTTCAACTAAAATTCTATTGACATGCTACAATGTAACTGTGAATAGAATCCCTTATATATTGTAGCATAGAACTTGAGGTGTCTTTCTCTCTGTGTACTTGAACTTCTTTTAGAAGATGAAAGGCTACCAGTGTTTTCATCTGAACAGGCCCATCTCTACTGACTCTGAGGAATTTGTTAGATCATAAATTGGGAAGTTTATTTCCATCAAGGAATGTTCTTTAGGTATTGCAGAGTCCTCCACTGACATGCATATTTGCCAACCTTTTGTTCCTTTTACCTTCTCTGCTCACTGTCTTTGCATTGACAGATTTATCTGTTGAGTTAGAGATCATAGTGTATCTTGTATGGTGGCCAAGAAATAGCTATAAATACATGGCTCAGAAAAATTATGGGATATAACCCATTTTATTATTTCTCACAATTGTTCATCGAAGCCTTGTACTATGTTCGCTAGTTATTGTTAAGAGTATACTCACATAACTTTAGGGATATCTATGCTGTCACCTAATGGAAACTGCTAATACTCCATGCGCTATCGCACTTTGATTTGAAAGTCTAGGACATCATAGATGATTGTTAGTTGAGTTTCCCACCTCAGGATTGGGTGAAGTGGGAGCGGATACATCAGTCCAGGCACCACCACAATCTGACAGGTAGCTTATTCCCCTTCAGAATTATGTCTTGCTGCTTTATTTCATGGATAGGTTTTTATTAGAACTGTGTCCATCTCTCTTTTTGCTGGAGGTTATGGTCTACAAGCTCATGCTCAGATAGAAGTCCCAATTAGCATACTGCTCACATCAACTAAAGGTGATCTATGTACTAATGAGTCAACGTGGGGCATGACATTCTGATTTAAGAACACAATTTATGTAGAATCTATAAGGTAGCCAGTTATGGAGCAGTACCAAGCTTCAATTGCTGATTAAAGTGTGGTGATCACATGTTTTTTTTTTTATCATCTTCTCTTCCTGTTTTAGGTTCATAAGCAACACGATAGTAGCTCCAATTAAACAGCAGCTAATTGTTACTGTTCTGGTATGTAGAGGTTCCCGTCCCTTCTTTGTGGAACAAAAGGTTTTGTGAGCCTGGCCTATGAACATCTCCTGAACCCACCAGTCAATAACACTTTGGGTTAAGAGTTCAGACACTGCATTTCATTCATATACGTGAAAGTAATGGTTACTCTAGCTGCTTAAGTTCTCTATAGTTCTTTTTAGCCGCCGCTTTCATCCCATGGCAACCCCATAGAGCTTAAAATAAGTTTCCCCAACTCTTCTGGTCAAATGAGCTCTTAAATTCTGCTAACTCATGGCACCACATGTTCTTCATAATAAGTGGTATCTCTGGGTGATTGATAATTAGTTGCAGAATAGACAGCCGCTAAGAAATCTCATATCTTTTAACTGTTAATAGGTATGCCTCGTTTGGTTTCTTCAATCCATCAAAGCCTGTAAGGCAGGACAACTTGAAGATTCACAATGAACTTGAGAAAGAAGTGGTAAGGGTGCTACTGAATCACCTGTAAATGGTTAGCGATATCTGCATACCTTATACAACTTTAGCTTTCTTCTAACTGTAACTTTTTTTTTTCTTCTAGTTCTGTTTTTCTTAAGTGGTGTGCTGCTAGAAGTTCCTTAGTTTCATAACTGACTGCATTAATCTATCTTCTGTGCGCCTCTATGAGTTTACAATGGACAGCTGTCAATTATCATATGTACTTGTACTACATTAGGTATTCTAGTCTGGATATTCGACCTGTATGATTGGATTTAAAATATTGTACGGTCTTTGACTATGGAATGAATCAAACAAAGATATTTGCTAGATCTTGTACAATGGATCAGCTTTTTTCTTTTTTATGTCTCTAACTGTGCAACATGTCAATTCGCATCAGGAAGTAATAATAGAAGATGTTGACTTGCATCCAAGTTTCAGTTACCTGGATTTCTCAAAAATGGACCAATTGCATGGAAAATTGAAGAAGTCATCGACTTTGAGAGACCATGGGCAACTTGATGGCCATTACAGAAACAAAACTGGCTCATACAGTGGTAAAAATAATCCACTCAGGAAAGCGAATGCCGATATATGGGATGGTATGTTTTAAAATTTGAACTTCCATTAATTACATCTTTTATATCTATACATGATGTTTTATTCTATGCTGCATGTCACAGAATGGCATTATTTCCATGTCCAGGAAGTTGTAATGTGTGATGAAAGGGTGCAAGATCCCTTTGGCCAAAGCTACCCTAGTAGTGTCTCTTCTTGTTCAAATTATCTGAGAATTTTCATCCTATCCAGTGCAATTTATTTAAAGGACCTTGATGTGCATCATTTTCCATTAGTTTCTTAGTAATGGAATTTACAAAATGAAAATCACTTACAAGGTGATATATGTTGTTGCTTGTTCATTCATTATGTTTCCCCGTCCCCTGCGAGGCCTTGACCATTCGTATGGAGTGATAGTTCTCCAAAGTCCAAAGATAGGTGGTACATCTGTTATTAATTTGCTGCGAAACTCATGTCATTTTACCTCCTTTGCAGCGGCACCTACCTTATTGGATGAAAATCTTGTTGATGAAATGGAACCTAAGATCTCTTTGAGTAGCTTGCCACGTCGAATGGATAATGAGTCTGCAAATTTTCCAATTTATGGATCCATGGGACTGCAAGATGACTATTATGAAGGTTCCCGTTTGCTTAGAAAGAAAAGGTTTTCTTCTTTCAACCAGCCACACTCATAGTTTCTTCTTTTGAACTAAAGGTTAGAATTTTCCTTGACCATGGGTGCTGTCTTTGCAGAAATCGTATTGAAGAAGTAGATGGAAACAATATTTCAGGTGTGCTCTCTCTCATCAGTTGAGTTCTGTCCAATGCCTTCTTTTTAAATGAAAACAATTTTGGCTCTAATATTCAAGTCCGAGGTTGGTTTGATGGGTTTTCATCCCCCACTACAACTAGGATAGCCCATTCAAGTTCTAGTCCCTTTTTCAGATTTTTGAAACACTGAAGAATGATTTGTCTAATCAACTTATTTTTCACTCTAGATTCTTTCTTGGTTTTTTAAGAAATGCTTATGCACCGTGATGCCAATTTTGAAAAGCTACAAGTATTTTCCTTTTATCTCTTTGATACCGTGAGTATATTTTGTTTGCTTCAGTGTCCACAGAAATAAATAGCCAAATAGAGGACTTCTGTTGCACGATTAACTCTTCAATGTCATATTTCTCTTGCTCTAGGCGAATTTGGGTTATTTGCTCCAAAGTACCAAGCACCAGAATCCAACGACGAATTTTTACGTTTGAGAGAGGCTAGGTACTTGTGTATTTCGGAGAATATGTATAGGCTGTATGAACTATCTGCAGCAGACACTTACGCTGCAGTTGATGATGGCAGGCAGTGTCCAATGGGAGATGTGAAGTTTCAACCTGACTGGTCTTCCCATAGTATAGAAGATCCTAGGGACAATTTGAGCCTATTGAGGTAAACATTTAGTTAGATCAGTATCCAGTCGCCAGCTTCTAACAACTGATCTCATTTGCTGACTGATGGATTTTTTTATTTCCGTCTCTGAACCTATTGGCAGTGAAGAGTCATCCACTGCAGGTTATCTCCTGTCACCATAAGATGGTGCTCTGATTGATACTGATACCCTTTTGACTATTTTCTATTGATTTCTGATCAATGTTTTCTCCACATGTTAGCGAGTCTTGCATCAATGGACACTTCACCATCATACTTGACTGGAAGGCCCAGCAGGAAACATGAAAGTGCCTTTGATGGTCTTGATACTATGTATGGTACCAGAAACATTTATGCTGAGGAGCCACATAAGACAAATAGGGGTAACTCTCAGAAAAGAGGGAAGGCAGAGAGACCAACGCTATTGGTTTCAAATATGGGAGATGACTTTGACCCTCTTTGCAAAGAGAAAATAAGACCTTTCAATGATTGGACATATGAAGATGGATATAGGCCCATGGATACGAATAAGGTTTCCAACCCCTGGGATCAAGATCTTTATGGTACATTTCCATCCCATGGACACCATGCCAGCAGTTCTAGTAGCTCCAAGTATGGTAGTTCTGGTGGTCATTTTTCCTCCACATTCCCTGAACCATCTAGCAGCATGAAGTTACATGGTTCTCCAAAATACCCAAAGGTCAAAATTCCGAAAATGCAGCCAGAACATTCTCTTGATTTTGAGTTTGAAGGAAAGACTCCAATTTTCTGCAAAAATAGTGATCTTTTCCATGGAGAACAATCGTTCCCAAAACATCAGCAACCATACTGTAAAACTGCTGGGGCTCAAAGGAACGTTGAAGGCATGGGTGCTCTTTCAGATTTAGGGGAGAATGGCCCTCGCTGCATGGGTGGTGTGGAAGACGGAGGAACCTTGGAGACTTCATCATCAGCCAACATTCCTGGAAACTCTGATAGCAGCGTTGATGAAATAAAGTATGTCCAGCCAAAAACTTTGGGATATGCTTCGCCATCTCACTCGGCCTCACCACCCTAAACCATGTTTGTAATTCTGTTAGTCTTGTTCTCTGTAGGGTGGCAGGACGACGCCAACATGATGAAGCTGAAGAAGTTCCTCCTGCTTGTCGAAGTGGGAAAGCAGGTACCCTGGCATCTCCCTGTTGCTTGAGCTATAAAAATTTCAGATATTATGTTCTTCATTTGGGTTATTATTATGACTATTAAAAGAAGAAAACATCACCCCATCTACTGCAGAAGTGAAAAGGAAGACAGCGAAGAAGATGGACAAGCAGCATTGTATGGTTTCTTCACCCCAGGTGATGATGCTTGAGAGTTATGTTTTTCAACTTCTGAGGGTGCAGAGGGAGGCGCGCTTATAGACTCCGTGACCAGAGGAAGGTATTATGTACATCCACACTAACCATTTTCATTTTCCGGGCATATGAAGTGACAATCAGAAAGCACCAACTGCAGCTTTCTTGCATCTTTCTATTACCGTTCAGTTTGCCTGGCAGCCTTCTTTTGTAGATCACTCTGATTCGTATTGCATCAGCAGACAGAGATATGTCTGTCAAGGGACTACTGTAAGGGATATCGCCGGATTGTATTAATCAGTTGAGACTTCTTCATACTTCCAGACTCACAGAATTTGGGGCCTGCCATCTGTTGGGTGGTGCTAAGATGTGTTAATAGTGTTTCATGCTATGAGGCCTACTGAGTACTGACAATCATGGTAGTAAAAGGCTGTGAATGAGATCATTGAACTAGGTATACTGGCAGCACTGTTATATTCGTTCACCATCTAATTGTCCTTTATTGATTTTTGAACCAGAGTTATTGAAGTACTTTGGTATAGTACCACGAAATCACCCATGTAATTGTTAACAGGAGTGTTCTTTCTGATGTGAACCCACGCCAACTGGAGTTTCTCTACGTTGTTTTCTTCAAGAGATCATCATCTCATCGAAGGTTAAAAAACTTTAAGTTCTTAATCCTCGCAGCATGTTCCGAAAGCTTGAGAATTTGGAGTCAGTTTTATTTGGTTTAGAAAATCATGCTACCTTTTATACAATTTTGTTAAGTCATAAAATTATCAAAAAGAGTAGTCGAACTCCCAAGGAGGATGTGTTGAATTCATGGTTGTTATGCGAATGGATTGTCGGTCTGGTGCCAATCAGGAAACTAGTGTGAATACTATTGGTATAATCGCATGATCAATTTATGACTTTTAAGCAAAATCATGTTGCTTTAGTGAATTTGATTAATAAAAAAGTTAAATTATTATTTATTTTATAAATTTAAAAGTTAAATGTTGACGTTATTTGTTGGATTTATGTATAAACGTTTATATATTGATAATAAATGTCGTATTTAAATATGAGTATTTGTTATTTTATTTGAAATGTCGTATTTTATTTAAATATAAATGTGAATTCCGAGTAAATTGTTTTCAAATATATTTTATAAATGATTACATTCATTTTATATTAATGGGTTCGATGGTGCTTTTTTGCCTTCTCTTGTGTTTGGATAGGAGCGCTAGGGGACACGGGGAGGGAGCAGGCGAAGTGTGTCAACATTCTACGTATTTTGTTAAATCGGCATGAACTGGTACAAATGAGATGTACCACTAATAGAAGTTGCATCTTGTCTCTCAAAGAGAGACAATGCAATATGATGGCCACAATCTCAATTGTTTCGAACTTGCTCTTTTTTTATGGTATATTTTTGAAATCCCTGTAACCCATAAATAGGGTCAAACATTATTTCATGGTATTTACCTCTTTCTTATTCTTAAGCGAGTCTCGCATCAGCATGAATACTTTTGTTGTTTTTAAGTAGTATTCCTTTTCTTTCTTTTTCGGTATATGCCGCAAAAGCACACGTAGCCGGGAGTGAGTCAGAAAATCCAATACTTTTTTAACTGTAGAACGAGGAGTAGACTTACTTTATTATGAGTCAACCTTTGAATTAAGTTTCTCCTTCGACTGAGAAAGTTTCTCTTATGAAAAAATACGTCTTCATGTCATCCAAAAAACCATTCCACTTACTAAACAATCGCAACATTATAAACCGGTTTGACAATCTTGGTTGAATTAGACACCACATACCAACTATGAAGGCTCATGAGTAGCAATCTGATTCGGGCTTAATTGTGTACTTTTTATCCCCGGTTTCCTTAGTCGTTTGAGGCATTTTTACTCTGGGAGGTTTGGTTTTATGCTGGGTTTTGTCTGGTTTTACTCCGAAGTCGAAAGTTGAAGAAAAGGCGCAAAATTGGGTCAAATGATGGAGGCAGTAGCAGATCACGGTGAAAGTAGTGAGTTCACGATTAGGGAGACCGTGAACTGGAGCTGCAAACCGTGAACCGCCAGACGTCCAGAGCCATTTTGGTTCTCAATGGACTCAAGTCAGTTCACGGTCGTAAGATCGTGAACCCAAGCCAGAGACAATGAACTGAGTTAGTGATGCGACATTTTTGGCCCGAGATCACGGTCCCCGCCTTGAGTTCACAGCCGTGAACTGGGACCGTGATTTGAGCTCAACCTGAGTATAAAAGGGGGTTTGAGCTTAAGGAAAAGGGAGGAGACCTTGAGTGAGAAATCTTTCTTCTTCAGCATTCTAGAGAGAGAAAGTGACAAGCAAGAAGAGGGAAGAAGCTAGGGTTTCATTCAAAGGCAAGGATTTGGGAAATTCTTCCCCAAAGGAAGATCTCTTCTACACAAGAAAGGATTCAAGCATCTCCATGATGGTTTTTATTCTTTCTCCTTGTGTTTTTCCCTCTCATAGCACGAAGTAGTTTCCCTTTTCACTTGGGTGTTTGTGAACCCTAACTTCTATCATGTGATTGATTGTATGGAATGATTGTCTATGTGTGAGTGTGTTTTAATACGATTTTGGAGGTATTTTCATGTAAGATTGTGTTGTGTGTCTGCCTATCAATCTATTTGTCATTCTAACCTAGGTAGAGAGAAAAACCTCTTTTGTTAAAGAGGCTTCTTAAGCTGGGTTTTCTTAGGCAAATCATGTATCCTATCTAGGTCAATGTAGGGCATCCCTCCTTGTTTGTGTTGGCACCTAGGGGTTGATTGTGTTTTGGCCTCCCGAATTACGATTCGAGAGTGAAGGTTTGGTAGTTCTTAGTCGATTAGGCCAAGAGAGCTACCTTGGTAGCTTAATCCGAATTCCTTGGCCTAGGGAATGGGAGAGTGATGTTCCATCGCTAGTTACACTTCAATTACAGTTCGCAATCACCTCCACCATACATTTTCAGTCATTACTAAAAGTCATGGTAGCGAGTTAGGGGGAGCTACACCCGGGTGAATCATTATCATTTAAGAGTCAAAACCAATTACTTTTACAACTGCTTTAATAGTAGATCGTAGTTTTCCATCAAACAACCAATCTCTAGATAATGTTTCAAACAATCGAAGTAGGGGTACATGGACCGACTCGGGTTGATATTTAAACATACTTGCACTATATTGCACCCAATTAAGGTTTATACTTGGGCCTTACTTGGGAGTTTTATTTTGATATTCGAGACGAGTCAAGTTTTTGGCGCCTTTGTCGGGGAACAAACGGTCCGTTACTTTGAAAAGATTGTTTGGTGTTAATCTAGCTTTTACTTTTCGCTGTTGTGTTTGTGAACCTTGCTTGTGCTAGACGAGTTGTGATTCTTTGGAGTGTGTGCAGGGAGGTGTAAGACCCGGAGTAATCCGACACCTTTGGCGCCACTGGACGAGAATCTCAACCTCACTCTTCGACTCTTGGCTCGTGAGAGGGAGCTAGCAGAGGCAAGAAGAAGGATAGAAGAGAGGGGACAACCAAAATTTGGTCCCGAAGAAGAATACATAGTTAAGGAAGAGTTTGATTCCGAAGAGGAAGGAAGTGAAGTTGATATGGTGGCTAATCAACATGCTCCAGCTGGACGGCCGCAGAGGAGCAACCGAGGACCATGTGCTACTATATGGCCCCACGAGCGGCGGATATTCAACCCGCCATTCGACATCCGCCCGTGGATGGCAACAATTTCGAGATCAAGCCCTCCCTCGTCACCATGATCCAAAACAATGCACTGTTTCATGGGCTTAGCAATAAGTCTCCAAGGGAGCATGTTCAGAAGTTCATCGAGCTTGCAGGAAGTTTGAAGATCAATGGTGTTTTCGAGGATGCTTTGAAGTTGAGGCTATTCCCCTACTCTCTTGTGGGGAATGCGTCTCGGTGGCTCAACAATAGACCGACCCTCTCGATCACCTCGTGGGATGACATGCTCAACAAGTTCATGACTCGGTATTGCCCACCTTCAAAGAAGGCGGAGTGGCAAATAAAAATCACCCACTTTGAGCAAGAGGAAGATGAGACATTGAGGGATGCTTGGGAAAAGTACTATGATTTCTTCCTCCATGCCCACACCATGGATTCGAGGAGCAATTTCGAATTGAGACCTTCTATGGCAGTCTCCACGAAGACGACACGATTCTCATTGACTCCCTATTTCAAAGGAAATTAATGAATATGACTCCGCCCCAAGTGACCGAGTTGCTTGAAGAAATGGCGCGTAAAGGGTATGATTGGGGTTTGACGTGAAGTGGCAAGAGAAGCACCGCAAGAGGAGTGCAAAGTGTAGGAGCGACCCCTCAACTTGAAGCTAAGATTGATCGGTTGATTTTTGCACTCCTAGAGGACAAGAAGCACGGGAAGAGGTTGTTAATGGTGTGTGATTGGTGTTCAAGAACCAACCACGCGATTTAGGGGTGTCAAATGATGAAGGAGTGGAGCACCCCCGAGGAGCAAGTGAGTTTCATCCCCAAATGCTAGGGAGAACAACCCCTATAGCAACACTTACAACCCGAGGTGGAGAAATCATCCCAATATCTCTTGGTCGTCTCCTACCAAACCAAGACCCCCCGATTTCCAAGGACCGACGGGAAATTATCAACCAAGGCCTACCAACAAAGGCCGCAATTCCAAGGCTCTAACTTCCAACAACCTTTCCAAGCTCAAGGTGGTCAAGGGTTCCAACAACCGATAAGTTTGAAAAACTTGAAGACCTAATGACCACCTTCGTGAGCACAAGCACTCAAGAGTTTGAGAAGATTGAGCAATTTATGGATGTGGCAAAAACAAAGTTTACTTCGGTCGAGGCGAGATTGAGCAGGCATCAAGCAAGCCTTCAAAACTTGGAGGTGCAAATTGGTAATCTTGTCGGGATCCTCACCGAGAGACCAAGGGGAGCGCTACCCTCTCAAACTATTGCCAACCCCAAAAATCAAAATGTCAGTTGCAATGCTATTCTTTTGAGGAGTGGGAAGGTGACCCCGGAGGTTGTTCTTAAGGAAGTGGCCAAAGAAGAGAAGACCCCTCCAACCAATGATTAAGAAGAAGTGGTAGGAAAGGAAGAAGAGCCTAAGAAGGCATTGCCAATGCCACCACAAGTGGCTGAGTACAAGCCTCCTTTTCCTTTCCCCATGAGTATGCACAAGGACCTATTGGAGGCGGAATGTGGTGGATTCATGGAGATGCTCAAGAAACTATGCATCACCATTCCGTTCTTGGAGGCCATGGTGCACATGCCGAGGTATACCAAATACCTCAAGGGGCTTCTCGCCAAGAAGCCAAAATATGAAGACCTCGCCAATGTCACCTTAGGCGAGGAGTACTCCGCATTCATCTTCAACAAGTTGCCTAAAAAGCATCCGGATCCAGGTAGTTTTACTATACCTCTTTGCATCGGAAATCATCATATAGAAAAATCCTTGGCGGACTTAGGAGCAAGCATTAATGTGATGCCTTACAAGCTTTTTAGAAAGTTGCATTTGGGTGAATTGAAGACCACTAGGCTTAGTGTCACATTGGCCGATCGCTCTGTTATTAGTCCTAGAGGTATTGTGGAGGACGTCCTAGTAAGAGTTGGCAAATTCTATTATCCGACGGATTTTGTTATCCTTGATATCAGTGAAGATTCGGATATGCCACTCATACTAGGTCGCCCCTTCCTTGCCACCGCCAAGACCTTACTCGATGATAAGGGTAAGGCGAAAGTGTCGGGCCAGGAATGCCACCATATGGAGCTTAAGTTGGGAGGTGAGAAAAATCGCCCCGTGATCGTGGCAGATCCACTCTCGGTGACTTCGTGCTCTCAAGCATGATAGATCCGCAACGTCAAGCTATTGAAGTTAAACTAGCGCTTGTCGGGAGGCAACCCAATGATAGTTTGTTTTCTTTTCCTTATTTTCCCTTTTTGTGTTTGTGTGAAGAGTTCAAGTCTTAGAATGGGCATCTCCATGCCGGGTCTGTGTGTTTGCGTGTTTTGGGATGTGTTGTGATTTAATTAGGGGCACGGTTGAGTAGATCGAGTCAAAATTTTTGGAAATTCTCTATTTTCACTCAGTTCACGGTCTTAGCAACGAGTGGATCGCCTCGAGGAGCAGTTTGTGGGAGTCACCACTCGGCTCGACCGATCCATTGACCTCCTCGAGAGGATTGCTCGACGCCAGGGCGTCCTTTTGGAAAAACACCATCATAACGGAACTTTTTTTCCTGGCATTTTCCAAATCCCTCGCCCTCTCCTCACCCTTCCCTTCGATTCTACTTGAGTCTCCAGGTGTGCTTTCAACTTTTAACTTGTAAATTTGTGGAGAATCGGATTAAGGTTAGAGGTAATAAATGTTGAAATTGGGCGAGGGGAATGTCATAATGGGTTGATTGAATGTTGCATGAAGTCTTGATTAAGTTAGTTGAGCCTTGGTGGGAAGAATTTGGCATGATTTTGTGGTTTGGATTGAGCATTCCCACCAAGTGCAGTATAATGATAATGACTTGATACACTTGTTTGCATGATGATTGAGAGCCATTGAGGCATGGTTTGGGTTGTTTTTTTCATTTGGCCGAACCATGATTCACCCAGAACCATGTCTCAATGAGTTTAATTAGTGCTTGAGCTTAATTTTTTGAAATCCGATCTTGTGAAACACATTCGAAGGAATAGGACCTTAGTGGAATCCTAAGTGTGTGGTGTGGGGGGGGGGTCTTTTCTCCCTTTTGATGTGAGATTGACAGATATTTCCATGTATGGTGAATGTCTTGGATGTTTTGCAGGATGGTAGATGCGGATCACGAGTACGTTCACTACCTGGTGAACCACGAGTTCAAGGGCTCCAACACCAATCCAGTGAAGCTTCGGACGCCATTGAGGCACCTGCACGCACTTCTGACGAAGTCTATCATCCCTTGTCTGATGACGGGCCACATAATCACTGACAGAGGGTTGATAGCCCTCCATACCTTGAACCACCCAGAAAAACCACTCCATTTGGTATCAGTGGTTGCCACCACCTTCGCCAGATGTCAGGGGCGGGATCGAGTTGATACGACACATTTGAGGGGCATTATCACGAGGCTAGCCCGACACTTCGGGGTTGACCTGACGAGGTTCTCCATTATCAGTCGGACTGAGCCATTTCCAGTGGAGATGCTCTACAACATGAAGTTGGTGCTCCTGGGAGAGTGAGGGATTGAATTCCTCGAGGGTCTTCAACCTTCGGCCGCTCTACGGCCACAGGTTGACCCTGCTCTAGTGGAGCCTGATCCAGAGGTCCCTCCACCAGAGCAACCCCCTATCAGAGCTCCAGGATGTTGTCGGTGCACCGCACCATCACCACCAGCAGCATCATCATCCGGAGGTGGTACTTCCTCTTCCGGAGGCCACCTCGAGCAACGAGTGGATCGTCTCGAGGAGCAGTTTGTGGGAGTCACCACTCGGCTCGACCGACCATTGACCTCCTCGAGAGGATTGCTCGATGCCAGGGCGTCCTTTTGGACGGTGAGCAGTGATCGTTAATCCACGACGAGGTAGCAGATGAGTGAGACATGTGGGAGAGCCGATTTCTTTCACCCCACTTCTCCACTTGAAACTCTGAACTCTGTTTATTTTTATTTTTTATTTCTTTATTGTGTAAGTAGTATTTTGTAAGTTTTTTATGTGGAACTTTGTTATGTGTAATAACCTCGCCTCGAGCAAGAATGTGCGTGTGTTTTGTTTTGTCTTCTCTTTGAAGCTCCAACATCCTACCCCGGGAAATTGTCCAACTTTCATTCACCAAGCCATGCGGTAACATTGTTCTACCCCCTGTTTTACGCCATTGAGGACAATGTCGAGCTTAAGTGTGGGGGGTAGTTTATTATTATGCTTGTGTGTGTGATTGAATGCTTGGAGCCTTGATGTATGCCCAAATTTGAAAATTTTGAGGGCTCCAAGCAATGCATGATCTCGTGTTTATTTGGCATTGATCTTGAATTGTTGCATGTGATCGAGTGCATCCTATTGTGATGACTTAGAGTGCATTAGGTGTGTGCAAAAGCTTAGTTCTCATGTGTGCTTAAATGAATGGATGTCTTGACTTGGTTACTCTTTGATCACAATTGCCTTGCATAGAAGTTCATGAAATTGGAATAGATGATTGGGTGGCTAGGTAGCCATGTGAGATTTTTGTTGGTCGTATTTTTCATGTGTGATAGATCCCTCTCGCCATGGTGTGTAACATTCACCGTTGTCACTAGTGAGTATGATGGAGGCATAGGATTAGTCCATGCCCAAAAGTTGATTGTCCTGAAACATTTTATCCCTTAGTCAACCCCTATGAGTCGTGTGACTTTAGGGTCTCTCTAATTTTAGGAGCTTTGTACTTGTTGAGCTTAATGGTGATTGAGAGAACGACCCTCATCCTACCTTCGTGTCAAAGTGTGAGTATATTCTGTTAAAGAAAGCCCTTCGCGCAAATTGCTTTGAATGGGTAAATCAATCATTTGGCCTTGTGGATCCGACATTAATCCTCTCATACCTACTAATTGGTGTACTTGAGATGCATTTCCCCTAGCTCCAGAAAAAGACATTATATGAACTGGATTAAAAGGTTCCGTCATCCTAAAATTAGGATTCATTTCTTGTCGCAAATATTCACTTGTAGCATACCATATCTCAATGGACTGGCGTAATTTTTCTACCGCGTGTACATTTCCGTTATGATGGTGTTTTTCCAAAATCAAACTTTGTTGTTCAGCATCGTGGACTAGCCATCCCTTAGAAGGTATTGTTAAAAGATCATCAATTCCTAATGAAATGGATGTAGCAGTGGCTTGCTGGAACCCCAGAGTCTTTACTTGATCCAGGATGTGTGATGTATATGCCATTCCGAAGTGATCTATTAATCGGCTAATAAGGCGTTTAATGGCAGTTCCATCTATCACTTTATTGTGAAAGACCAGATTGGCCCGTTCGGCCATAAGTACCTCCATATTCGGCTGAGTGGGGTTTGACAATGGATTTGAGTCAATGCTTGGAAAACTTCCTTTTCTCGATCTTGATTCGCATAGAAATTAAGGAATTTCAGAACTATGGTCCTAGCCGAACCGAGGAGATCTGAATTCACACCGGTCTGCTAGAATTACTTAACATAGATCTCTATGATTGGATTAGGTAACATCTGAACAGGCTTGGCAAAACCCCTGTATAGCTTCTTCAATTTCTCGATAAAGACAAATATGACCAATAGTGGTTCGGATGTATATACAAACAATTTCTTTTTTTATATTTCCTACTATTAGATAGTGCCCATAAATCTCATAATAAGTACCCAAAGAATCATAGTGAACTTCGATAGGAGCTTCGCTTGAAACAATAACGCGTTGATCTAGTTGCCACCGGAGCCACAAAGGACTATCTAGTTTGATTCTTTTCTGCCGATAAGCTCCAATTGCATCATAGGAATTACAAAACAACGGTTCTTTCGTATACTTATTGTTATTCGTGAGAATTCGTTCATTTTGAGAATTTCTGCGATTACACGGATTATACCTATTTGCACCAATCCCTCGACGATTCCCGCTTGTTAATATATAGAGCCCAATAAGCATATCTTGAGTTGGTATTGAAATGGGATCTCCAATAGCTGGAGACAAGAGATTCATATGAGAAAACATAAGTAAACGAGCCTCCGCTTGAGCCTCCAGCGATAAAGGTACATGAACAGCCATTTGATCCCCATCAAAGTCCGCATTGAATCCCTTACAAACTAATGGATGTAAACAAATAGCACGCCCTTCCACTAAAATAGGTTGGAATGCCTGTATACCTAATCTATGTAGAGTAGGCGCTCTATTCAGCAATATAGGATGTCCCCGCATAACTTCCTGAAGTATTTCCCATACAATTGGCACTTTCTCTCGAATTTGACTCTTAGCAACTCCTATGTTCGAAGCAAGACGTTGTCTAATTAGACCACGAATTACAAATGTCTGAAAAAGCTCGATTGCTATTTCACGAGGCAATCCACATTGATGTAATGAAAGTGAGGGACCCACGACAATTACGGAACGCCCCGAATAATCAACCCGTTTGCCGAGCATAGTGTGACAAGGGATCCATGTCATCAACCACAATCAGTGGACAGAGAGACGTACCCACGAAGTCACAACAGGCCCAAGCCACATGTGTTTCTAGTAAGAATCCTAAATAGTTAAGTGTGGCAAGGGTGGCATGTCTCCAGGCCTATGCAGTAGAATCGGGGGCATGCCATCAACCATAAGCAATGAATATGTAGGCATACCCAATAAACCGCAACAAGCCCAAGCAACACATGCTAATATAGCTAAGTGTGCCAAGAAGGGTATCTCTTCAGCTCCTGTAGCGGACAAGGGGGCATTTCATCGATCGTGAAGAAATTAGTGGGGGCAAGGCTAGGAGTGTGCAAAACAAGCAAGCCATCCACAAGTTTTCTAACTATGAGAATGTGTCAAAGTATAGACAAAGAAACAACTTTGTGCCTAATAGCCCTCATAGCATGCCAAACATGAATGGTGGAAAAGGGGGCATGAATAAGATATCTCGGCACACACCAACTAGACATGGTCCTATAGAGGGTCAATAGTGGTTATGTCTAGTAAGGTGACTAAGGCAAAGAATCATGAGACCCCTCGCAAGCCCACCAAGGCAAAATTTATTGGGAGGGTACCATTCGTTGTTAAGATGGAAAATTCGAAACCAACACCAAAAGAGTCGTCACCCCTAAATGAAGGAAGGCAAGTAGTGTATAGATGGTTGGTTCGGTTTAATCCATGGACTTGCCGGTGAGTGTACACTTTTGGCATATTGTTAGTCGCCAAAGGGTATGGAGAGCAGTGACATTTTTCACTCTCTATTATATTATGATAATTAAATAATGGGTAATTTTAAAAAAAGGGTTAATAGCATTTTGTACCCCTCTACTATCATAAATTAACAAACGTACCCCTCTACTAAATTTTTGCACAAACATACCCTTCTAATATTAGAACATAACAAGCTTACCCTTCCATCCAATTATCTGTTAAGTGACCGTTAAAAGGGTTGTTAAATGACTAAATTACCCTTCATGTATTCCTAAATACTCCTAATTTCAGTTTTAGTTATTTTTTGTTCCAAATCAATTAATTAAAACAATCAAACCCCTAAACCACACACAAAAGCGTCCGTCTCCCCTAGCGATAGTCTCTCTACTCGGCGGCGGCGCCGACGCCGCTCCTGACATCTCCTCGCCGCGACATCTCCTCTCTCATCCAAATCCAAAAACATTCACCATCCCCTCCATCTAGCTACTAGCATGCATGAATGGCTAGAGAGAGGTGATTAATAAATGGTGTTTGTATATATCGGGCTTTGAACTAATTAATTAAGCAGCGATCATCAAATTAACTAATTAATCGATGGCAATCAGCATCATGAATCACTAATGGGGAGGAGAGTAGTAGTTGCGCCGCCTGAAAGCTCCTACGCTGAAGATGTGCCTAGGATTAATGCCCGACTCTTTCTCCCCTCACAAGCCCCAAAGCTTGTCGCCGTCCACAAGGTCTTCGTGGCTAAACGTCGCCAACATATTCCTCGTAAACATTCTCTCTAAATTCTACTCCAGCCGGCGGTGAGGAGATGCCGGGAGCAGGTGCCGCCGCAGAATGGAGGGAGGGAGACGTACGGTTTAGGAATTAGTTTAGGGATTTGATATTTTTTAATTAATTGTTTTGAGACATAAAATAAATAAATCAAAATTAGATGTAATTAGAAGTAAACGAGGGGCAATTAAGTCATTTCACATCTTACTTAACGGTCACTTAACAGAAAATTGGATGGAAGGGTAAACTTGTTACGTTTTAATACTAAAAAGGTATGTTTGTGCAAAAAATTAGTAAATGGGTACATTTGTTAATTTACCATAATAGAGGGGTATAAAATGCTATTAATCCTAAAAAAACTAGTAAGATAAAGACAAAAATAACAGAAAATCATAGGCCATTCATGACTAAAAATATTGTAGAAGATTTAAGTTGTGTTAGAGTTGTAAGACTGGTGATGTGAGGACCTTGCCATGACTGGTAAGCAACAAGTCATGTGATTGGGTCTATGGCGCCTCCTATGCTCGTTTGATTGGTGGGTACACCATGACACTTTCATAGCATGAGTAGATGTTGTCCGACATGGATCGTTACCATCCATGCCACCCAATCCAATGAGGCATACCTGTTGAAAGATATAAGTGGATGTTACATGATCGATTGATCAATGCCTAGAATCTCAAGCCCTATGTCTCCTCCCTAGTTTCAAGGTTAACAGACCACCGTGATGGTCATCATGCCAAGCCTACCATACCTTTTTGAATTTGATGGGCATGGTTTTCGTGGATAACTAGGACGTGGATGAGTATCTCAATTGGCAAATAAGGTGTTGGTAGTAGAGACAGTAAGCTCCCATATCCTCCACTTGGCCTGAATCTTCTTCTACATGAAGTGAAAAATACCTTGTATGCCTAACGGCCAAGTAGTGGCCGAGTGGGAGAAGAAAGAGATAGCCAACGTGGTGTTGAGAGGAGGTTGGGATAAATTACTTTGTTTGTCAAGCCAAATTTAGTCCAGTGAGATATCTAACGTTGTATTTCTCTATGATTAAACCAAAGCCATGTTTTTTGTGTCCTTGTGACGCAACATTAAACCAAATTATTTTTTTAGGTGGTCAGGTTGGGTTCAACAACTTAGTGCATAATCCTTATACACTAAGTTGGGGGGCATTTGTTTACCCATTAAAATTAAATTGTACCACATTGATTAATTACAAGAGAATTAGTTGATTTATAAGGTCATCTCAACATTAAACATTAAATGAGCTAGCTGGGCCTTATTGGGTTGGATTTTTTGGTCTAAGTGGCCAAGCTACCTATCCGTGGCCTAGCGGTCGGCCGCCCCCATAGTCGGACCATGTCTCAACCCCTTGGTATGAAATTTGGCTCCCAAAAACTAAGTCTGGAAACAAGGCGGCAAAATAGGGTGTCAAACGACAGGGTATCAAGCCAACGAAAGAGGCTTGGTAGGCTGAGGGCAAAATAGACTTGGTACCGAAACACACCAAAATTGGCTAAGTATGGGGCCAAGAGGGTACCAAGACGGGCAAGGAAGGCTTGGTATCAAGACATGAAATTTGGCTAAGTATAGAGCCAACATGGTACCAAGCCAGCAAGGCAGGGCTTGATACCAAGACACCAAGGGGGTACCAAGCCGACAAGGCAGGCTTGGTACTAAGATGTGAAATTTGGTTGTCTGGAGCCAACAGGATAAGTATGGAGGCAACAGGGTATCAGGCGAAGAAGGTAAGGCTTGGTACCAAGATATGAAAATTGGTCAAGTATGGAGCCAATAGGGTACCAGGCCGGGAGGCAAGCCTGGAGGTACCAACCCGACAAGGCATGCATGGTACCCAAACATGAAATTTGGCTAAGTCTGGAAACAAGACATGCTTGTAGCTAGGCAATAGGGTACCAAACTGGATACCAAGTCAGACTTGGTAGCCAAGCAAGAGGGTACCAAGCCGGCAAGACAGGTTTGGTATCAAGTTATCAAACCTCTCAAAAGCTAAGTATAGAGATCAAACTGGCAAAGTGCCAACCCAAAGAGGAGGTGACAAGGTGGCCACCCGACTGGGTACCAAGGCGTCATGGACCATCCTCATAGCCTCAAGACTAAGTATGAAATTTTAGGGGTGGGGGCTGGCCGGCCAAGGTGCCTAGCTAAGAGGTTGTCAACTTGATGGAGAATTGGTGTAGAGCCCTTTAGGGGACCATATAGAGACTTAGTCCCAAGACGGGCTTGGTGGTCCTGGGTACCAAGCCGATGAGGTGGCAAGGTACCAACTTGATGAGATTCTAAAAGCTGAGTATGGAGACCAAGCCGGCAAGGCTAGCTTGGTAGTAGTGGCCGACATGACTGGCTTGGTGGTAGAGGGTATCAAGCCCGAGAGACACAAAAAAGTAGGAGCAAGACGATAGCAACAAAACTAAGTATGGAATCTTGGGGGATGCCAAGAGTGTGGTCGAGACTTCATCATGGATGCAAGGTTAAGGGCTTTAACCTCATCTAGTCAAGACAAGACAAGACAAGAAGACTCAACACCAACCCTACCTAGCTTCAAGGATACCAAGTACCAACCCGTCAACAAGGGGGGCAAGAGGCCCCAAGGTGATATGAGTCAACACCAAGGCGACAGTTACTCATTGATCTCTAAGGCGGCGACAAGGGGTCCCTAAGGTGGTTGGAGTAACAGGCCAACTAGCTGTTACCAAGGCAGTTACACCTAGTGGCTATAAATAGGAGAAACTAAGATTGTAAAAGGGTTCCACAACTAAACATTTGACACACAATGTCAAACTTTTATATTTTCTCTGCAAATTAGCCATAGCATTAGTTTTTGGTGCTCTTACTAAACCTCCATAGGAGTAGGTGTAATTAACGTAGCTTGTTCCCAAAAAAACCATAAAAAAACATCAAACACCCTCGTTCAAACATTGTTCGGAGAGGAGTGAACCGTGTTAATTTTCGTTGTTCAAGAAGTCAAAGGTGCAAAGCATTAATTCAAACACAAGATTTTCCTCGCTGGAAAACAGGTACGGCGGGAGTTAATTAGGAGGTTCTACTCCGTGTCTCCATCCCGTTTGCAAGGAGATCCATTATTATTTTGTCGGTCCATGAATCATTGACGACGACGGAGACCCAGAACGATCAATGGGGACTCTCCTAGGAAAGGAGGAATCAGAGGAGATTACTAAGAGCCTGGCCGACGACCAGCGGTTGGAGAAACTTGATGCCAAATGCGAGGCGGTTCCACCTTATGTCAGGCTGTGGCTTTCCCATTGGTGAATAGAGGTTGCCGCAGAGCTCACAAGAAAGTTGATCTTATCTTTCTTCACAGTTACACATAGCCAGCTGACATGTGACTTGGAGTTCCTTGCTTTTGATAAGGATGAATTTCCTTTTGCTCTGGTAGTGGTGGGGGCTAACTGATAAGTATTATCCTCATTTTCAACAAATTTGTTTGTCTCTATCTTATTGCA